GCCCCCCCCACCCCGTCCCTCACTTATCTGATCTGTAGGCTGTCTCTGCAGGCTGGGAGTTGCTGGCTACATGTGCTGCTCCCCTGCGGATTCAGTCAGCAGAGAGAAGCAGGGATAAGATGTAGCTTCCTATCCCTGCCTTTCTCCATTCACATCGCCGCCTACTGGCCGGCGCCGGTATTGCAATGTATTTTCACACTGAAACAAAAAATAGCAGCACAAGCTGAAAAATCCAGGGGGGTGATGGTTGCTATGGCAGCATAAAGGGTTCCCTTGCAAAGAAGCTCGAGCAAGTTGACAATGAATATTATGCTATTATTCATAATACATTGCACACTTGGTGCATACAATAGTATAATAATTGTTTTCTCCGGCAAATGGTCATATTCTTCTACAGCTCTGAGCTATAGGAGATTGTGTGTTTGATTTACGTTAGTTTTCCATGATTTTTGCCACTGAGAAACGTTTGAGAAGAACATTTATGAGTTTGTGTGAGAAATATGCGTAAATTACACAGGCAAAATCACAAACACTTTTTGGAGATGTTACACAGTAGCATTAACAAAGCTATTTACCTTTTATCTTGCAAAATACACATAGTCAACTTTTTGTGTTTTTCTTATGGAAATAGTGTGTTTTACAGAAGACTCAAAATTTGGCTGCAGATATTGAAATGTTACTTAAAATTACTGTTGGAGAGAGACCCTTTCACACAAATAGCAGCTGATCCAATTACATATGATGGCACTTTGCATGTTGTAGTGGCTTTGACATAAGAATTGTCTATTCCTTTGTCTGTGACATGCAGTACAAATTTAGCAATGCAATAAAGAAATAATATAATTAAAATGGTAAATTAACCACGCTGCAGATCTTTCCACTTACCAGCGCTCACAAAAAGAAACCACAAGTTATTTTACTACATTTTGACTGATTCTCACTCTTCCGTCCAAATAGCCAGATACATGGATGTCATCTTTTCCTTAAACCTGTGCCATGTGAAAGTTAGAAGGAGAAGGAAAACACAGTAGACCGCTGGCCAAAAGCACCAACTTAACACACAAACATGCGTTGCATGGCATTGTGCCTAAGAAAATAGGTCCAAAAATGAAAAAAACATAAACTCATTAAAGTTAAGTAAAAAAAAGAAACATAAAGGTTTATGTTTATTTAGGCATTTCTGCACAATTTATGACAAAAACTGAGTCACACAAGTTACTTTTAACCCCTTAAGGATACATGTCGGAAATATTCCGTCATGATTCCCTTTTATTTTTGAAGTTATGTCCTTAAGGGGTGGAGTTAAGTTACATTTATTAACAACAACAAAAAGGAAATTATACAGAAAAATGTCCCTTGCCCCCCCCCCCAAAAAAAAACCAACAACAAATAAACAAACAAACAAGAAACTATAATCTTAACCCTCTTGCCTAATGACAGGAAGATCAAAATAACTATCTGGACAGCAGGAAAAAAACTATTTAGCTCACTGCAGTTTTACTATGCATTAGTGCACTAGCCCTCTGGGAGCAGAGGCACTGAGCATAAAAATAGGAAAACAGCATCTAATGGCTGAAAAACCATAGCACTTGTTTTCGTGCTAAAAACTACTGCTAATTGAGCAGCATGATTAAAGTGACAGGGCTTTGTGGGCGTGTGAGTAGAAAAACACATTTATTTCACTAGTTATAAAATGAGAATATACGCAAACTCATATGAATAGATTGCATTTAACTTGGAACAAGTACAAAATTAAATTGTTTTTACCTGGCTTTTCAGAGAGGACGTTTCTATAGCTACAAAAAGCATGTTCCTCTATTCAAGGACTAGTTAATTGTTTTTACTGGAACTTTTAATCTCAAGCTTTTTGTGTTAAAATGTGAATGTGCTCCAGCTTAATATGGAGACAGTTGAGCGTATGTTAAAAACCTTGAGCAAAATAAAATACATTGTTCTTATTTTTAGTTTGTATTGTTTTGGTTGACAGCAAATGCTTTATATTTAAACTGGATTTGTCAATGAAAACACACAAAAAAAAACCTTTAAAAATTATATTTTTGTGTGAACTAAAGGCTTTTAAAAAAAGCTTGTTTATTTTACACTAGAACCTGATGTGATAGTACAAACTGCTAGGAGACATTTCTTACTAGCCCTTGGAAATACAAATGTGTATTCCTAAATATAGTCTCCTGGTGGGCATTTAAGTTACAGCCCCCTCTTGTTGGGAGTCAAAAAGGTCTTTTACTTACCTTTTCTCCCTTGCAGCACTGGCTTCCATGCAGGGCCGGTGCAAGGATTTTTGCCGCCTTGGCAAAAGTAAAGTTTGCCGCCCCACCCCCCCCATATGACATCACAATGCCCCATTTTAACTAACGCAAGTGCTGCAGTGCCGCCATGTTTACATTAAAAGGCCTGCAGGGACAGGCTATAGACACCAGAACCACTACATTAAGCTGCAGTGGTTCTGGGGACTAAAGTGTCCCTTTAATGTGAGGTAAATTAGAGCTTAGTGCCATGAATAATATACTAGATTGCCTACTTACAATCAGATGAGGATGGTGATGGGCTCTAGCTGCAGTCTGGCTCCACTCGTCTGGAGGCTGTTTGTGTTCTGGGAGAACGGGAAGCAGCTCCATTTTTTGGGGGCCCTTTACACAGCTCAAGGTCTGGGCCCCAGGGTCCACCTTCATGTTCCACCAATTATTTTGTTCACAGGAGTAGGGGATGTCCTGATATGTGTGTAAGGAATGCATTGTGTGAATCTGTGTTTGTATGTGTAAGGGCTGCAATGTGTGTTTCAATGTATGTACGGGATGCAGTGTGTGCGTCTGTAAGGGGTGTATTGAGTGTGTGTAAGGAATGCATTGTGTTTCTGTGTGTGTAAGGGATGCATTGTGTGTAAGGGTTGAATTGCTTGTGTGTGTGTGTGTGTCTGTGTGTGTAATGCATTGTGCGTTTTTCTGTGTGCAAGGGGTGCATTGTGTGTGTGTGTGATGGATGTCAATCTCTCCCCCCTCCCTTGTCCCTCTCTTCTCCCCCTCTCCCTCCCTCGTCACTCTCTTCTCTCCCCCCCTTGTCCCTCTCTTCTCCCCCCCTTGTCCCTCTCTTCTCCCCCCTCTTGTCCCTCTCTTCTCCCCCCTCTTGTCCCTCTCTTCTTCCCCCTCCCTTGTCACTCTCTTCTCCCCTGCGTGTCCCTCTCTTCTCCCCTGCGTGTCCCTCTCTTCTCCCCCTCCCTTGTCACTCTTGTCTCCCCCGTTGTAACTCTCTTCTCCCCTCCCCACTCTCATTCCCCCTCCTAACCCCGTCAATTCCCCTCCCTGTCAATTTCTCCCCCCCACCTTGTCAATTTATTCCCCCCACCCTGCCTGTCCATTTATCCCCCCACCCTGCCTATCCATTTATCCCCCCCCCACTGTCCATTTATTCCCCCCCTCCCTGTCCATTTATCCTCTCCCCTCCCCTCCCCTCCCTGTCCATTTATTCCCCCCCCTCCCTCCTGTCCATTTATTTACCTCCCTCCCCTGTCCATTTATTCCCCCCCCCTCCCCTCCTGTCCATTTATTCCCTGTCCCCCTGTCCATTTTATTCCCCCTCCCTCCTGTCCATTTTATCCTCCCCTGTCCATTTATTCCCCTCCTGTCCATCCCCCCTCCCCTCCTGTCCATTTATTCCCCACCTCCCCTCCTGTCCATTTTATTCCCCCCTCCCCTCCCTGTCCATTTATTCCCCCCTCCCCTCCTGTCCATTTATTCCTCCCCCTCCTCCTGTCATTTATTCCCCCCCCCTCCCTCCTGTCCATTTCCTCCTCCCTCCTGTCCGTTTGTTCCTCCCCCCCCTGGTACATTCCTCCCCCCCTCCCCTCCTGTCCATTTCGCCCCCCTCCCCCTCCCCCTCCATCCCTGTCCATTTATTCCTCCTCTTTACAGAGCTCGGGCTGCAGTGGGGGGCGGGCGGCTCCACCTGGCGCCCCCCAGAAGCCCTAGGCTGACTGCCCTAGTCCGCCTTACAGTGGCTAGCCGCCCTGCTTCCATGCTGCTGTCCCGCCTTCTTGGCTGAGATCATCGAAATAGTTCATCTCAGCCAATACAATGCTTTCCCCTAGGAAAGCATTGGGAGACTAGTGCTCATACATGGTAAAAGGTTGTGCTGCACCAATCAGGTAATCTCTCTGAGGTCATCTGATTAAAATAGCAGAATTTTACTCTGCTACTTCAGAGGAAGTGCCACTAGTGGCTGTCTGAGTGACAGTCATTACAGGTATTTAAACCCTGCAACGGAAACATTACCATTCGGCAAAACAGCAAAGTTTAACAATGCAGGGTTAAAATGGGGGGAACATGCATCCAAGACCACTTCATTGATATAGTTGTTTGGCTACCTATAGTGCATATCCAACTTAGAAAATGCACTTAAAATTAGGTTATCATTGCATATTATAATGTAATTGTCTTTCATATTAATCTGGGTGTATAACATTTTAAATTATGTGGTAGTATGCATGCGTGACACGGAAAATCTGAAACGCATATAAAAACATTTACTCTATATTATACTACTGATTCACTTAATGATACATTATTAACATGGAATGTTACAAAAGAGTGCCTTTGTTGGAATTCTCACATCTAGACGTGCTCTAGGCATAACTATGTAGTTGGTGCTTTGGGCTTAGTGCATTTATTCTGTAATACGCATATGAAGGGAATAATATATAAGTAAAGGACATTTTATTTTAAATTGGAATGTGTGTCCTTGCCCTTTTGACATCCATGTTTGAGTGTGAATGAGAATTTTGCATTTGTTTATCTTTGCCCTTGTACATTATAAAAATAAACATACCCGGGACTTACATGAGGTCGTACATGCATTCCAACATTGAAAAAAATCCTGAAGTGCATTGACAGTTTTAAACATCAAACTAACACTTTTTTACTCACTTACTAACTGTAGATGCGAATATCCATTTTGCTCTATATCCTAACTGTTCATGTAAGGGTTAATTTGAATCAAGAATAAATTTGGAATTGTATCTCCAATTCTCAGAAATGTTATTGAAACATGATTTTGTTATGTTCCTGGAAAAAAGATATTTGCATGACATGACATGACATGGCATGACACGACATGACATGACATGACATGATAAGGATTCTGGAATGACCTTGTTAATTGTCCAAGATTTCTGTATTTGTAATCATCTGGGTTTTATCCAATATGCATACATTATGTAACATCGAATTATAACTAAAAACAGCTGTTTATAACTTGTGAAAAACAATGTCATTGTCACGCCCATATGGTCATTTTTCCCCCTCCCATCCTGCTATGAAAATGGGTTATAAATATAACTGACGTATGAATACAATTTGAATTGGTTATTGAACACGTCTCTGCTATTCATTTCCAATTTCCAGAGCTCTGTATGAGTTGGCAAATATCCATCATCCACAAAGGGCCCAGGCTGATTTTATCCCCAACAAACTGGTGTCAGAAGTTTGGGTGCAATTAGGAACGGAGTTGCAGGTAAGGGGGTCTTTAGCCCCTTGGGGACACAACTTCTGGAATTTAAGGGTATCATGACGGAGTATTTCTGTCGTGTGTCCTTAAGGGGTTGGGGACCTTTGCCTGCTTCTGCCATCCTCCCACACATTGCATTTCTTGTTTTAATGGGGTTTTTCACTATTTACATTTTTAAAGGGGATTTTCACAGGATAATGTCTTTGGTAGACATGGTATTTTGTTAAGTCTTAGGTAGACTTCTATTACTCCACGGGTTGGAGGATTGCCTTTGGAGTAGTAGTAGTTATTGTGCACATTTCCTCTTTGGTAAGAGGTTCACCTTTGGCCAGGTGTTAAAAAGAATTTCAAGCCTTTGGTAGGCTGTGATGTCCTGTGATGTACATTTACATATGGGAGACGTCCCTAGATCCCTCTTTGGTAGAGGTTGCCTTTGGTAGGTTATAAAACAGATTTCCAGTCTTTGGTGGACTGTGGTATTTATTTAACGTAGATGTCAATTTTGCAGACTAAAATGGTTATTAAGAGAAAAAAAAAAAGGCGGGTTAAAAGGTATGATGGATGTTTGGCATTACTCCAGCTTGCTAATTTATGTGCTATTTTATGATGTGCAACGCTGATTTTAAGCATAAAGTCTTAATTGAGGGAATGTCAAAAGTACATGTAAAGGTGATGATGAATAAGAAAAAAACTAGAGGTTATTTAAGGGGGGCTACAAATTCTAGAACTAACATGATTTCTCTGCATGTATGTTTGTTTGCATAATGAGCCCCTTATTTTTATACTTGGTCAAAAGTACTATAAGCCCACTACACTTTTTCATGAGAGTGGGATATATGATTGTTTATATGATGAGCCCTTTATTTTCATATTGGGACAAAAAGTCACTTCATTCAAAACGTCAAACACCACATTCTTTCTGCCCTGAGTGTTTGTTGCAGATAACTTATGTTGTAAATTTAGAAGATTATAAATTAGAGAGCAAAATGTATATTTTCAGCGTTCCAACACATGCTTCATATTGTGCTGTAAGCTAACTTGTAGTATTCCAGTATGTCACATGTTGTATGTGCTGTAAATTTTATGTATTCTGTAAATTATTGTATGGGGTTGCTGAGATTTTATTGCTTGCGACCCAAACTGTGAAGAAGTGGGTTTGAAATTTTGGTCATGGAATGTAGGATCAGAAAACCATGGACAAAGGTTTTAACCTGTGTTGATATGACTTTTGGAAACTCAAATTGACCGGTCAAAATTTTGCCATGCCTTTAACATGGAGTAGTATAAATATTTTGAGTCTTTGAGAGTTCTGACAAATGCAGGTGATACCATGTCTGTGTAATCTGGTCCAAATGTTCTATAAGCGTATAAGAGAGAAATTCCATTGACAGGTTTCATATGTTGCAACTGGTTAATGCAAGTGTTATACAAATGTTTAAGTCAAACGTGTTATATGGCCGTACGGGATCCCTTCTTTAAAAAGAAAAAATAAACCCTTTGGTACCAGAACGCTTAAATAAATCCAATACAAACTAAAATTGGTATACCTTACAATAATATGTTCTGAATACAGCTGTTAGAAGTTTATTCTGTGTGAATGATGATTGTCATAAATGTTTGTTTTGGTTACTCATTTTGAAGTGCGCAGTTTAATTGTCATGTATGTTAATGGGTATTTTGCTGTGTTATTTTAAATTATATTTGAATAAGTTTGTCTTAGTATTGATACAGATGAAAATGGCAGCGTAATAATCTATTAAATAACTGATTTATTATTGAATACTTGTCCAAGAGCAATATGAGTTGTAGTCTTAAGAAAGAAAAAAAGAGGGAGTCTGTTTTTGTAAATTTTAGCTGATTTCCAAAATTCTGTTGCAATAATGGACTTCCTGCCAAAATTTGACTTTCTTGTCCAGTTGCCAGGTGCTCTGATCTAATCTTAAAGCAGTACTGCTTGCATTGTTTGCAGACATGCATAATGCACAAATATGAGAACCAAATTATGTCTGTCACATAGTGTGACATTTATTAATTTATTTTGGATTGAGTTAATTGCCTGTCCATGAATATGCTTTTTGTATTGGCATGTCTGCTGGATATCTGCTACATGTTTTCTGTGCTATAAGATGATGTGTGATATTACAATGAGTATGAAGAATATTTAAAGAATATTTGCATGTCATTAACGCAAGCCTTTAGTGTCTTTTTACAACAGATTAAAAAAACACTGATCAGCCAACAAGAAAGGGGCCCCTGGGAAAGAAAAAGAAAAAATATATCATTTGCTTTTCAAAATCGTGGATCCACGTTTCAGTATTATTAGGGGAGTATTTAGAGTTAACGCTACTTTTAAAGTGCATTGCATTATTTAAGAAAAGAAAAATGTGTTATGTTAGATGGTTATATAACAAGAAAAATTATGGATGTATAGGATAGGTTTTTTCCAAGATTAAGATTCATCTAGTATGCCTCATTGATTATAGGAAAATGATGAAATGGTATTTTTAATAGAGATCAGATAATTTCTTTTGAGGCAATTCTAAACTACTGTATTATATTTGTATTGGTATATTGAAAGCATTTTGCAGACCCAGAAGAGAATAAATAATATAATAATAATAAAAGGAACCATACTATGGGAAGAGGTCATCCTATTAAATTGCTAAGGGGTTAAACTCATTTTGATAAGCATATAAAATTTAGTTTTTGTGGTTAGAATTTTTGATACTCAATTTGAACTCAATTGAAGTATTAAAACCATATCCTTGCAGGTATAGGAAACAGCTGCAATATGATTTAAATATTTGCAATATATTAGTGTTCTGACAATGGAAAAGTTCCTAACCGCATGTCTGTATTACACCTATGACACAGACTGTCAGTATTGCAAACCTTATGTGAAGACTCTGCTTTCACTGTTTATGTATACACCCCTAGACAACCGTGCTATACATGCACAATAAATCTTCAAAAGCCTATTAATATTATATCTGTGTGGTACACAAATAGGTGTACACAAAGAGGGGGTGTGAGTTAAGTCATCTCGACCTTCATATGGAATATGCTTCCTCCTTGTTCACCTTTGGTCAAACTGTTGGTCTGTGACTGGCCCTCTTTGAACTGAATTTCTTGGGAAGATTCATGAGAAAGATACAGCAGGTTGTTTTGGATATAAAGAAAGAGGGAAAAGTATGTTGTATCGGTCACAAAAGGATTGTGATCTTAAGCAGGCGAGACAAAGAAAGTTTGGAGGTGATAGATTGAATCAGAAAAGTTTTAGAGGCAGAGGTAGAGAATTTGATCAAAGTATTTAACTTTTGTAGAGATGGTAACTTCAGCACTGTTTTAATTATGGATAGCATGGATTCACCCAAAGGTGCTTGTGGTGAACCCGGTTCTCCTGGTCAACCTGGCCCAGCTGGCATTCAAGGACTCCCACCCTGGCAGGTTCCTCAATACCAACCACAACTTTCAAGCTATACCCACACCCAACAACCTCAGCCTAATACACAGATGGTTCATGTTTTAATACTTTATATATAGTTTTGATAGATAAAACAGTATTAATGCTGGCTCTTAGAGGATGTACAAGCTGAAGTTGGGACCTAGACATTGTTTGCATAGGCTGTGCAATGTGAAATAACTAAAATAGGATAATAAGTATGCTTAGTCAATTTGTAAAGTGGTATAATAGAGGCATCTGCAATAAATTAAGTGGGTTTCCAAGACCTGACAAGTGAGAGCAACTTAATATAACATATGTCTACAGTTTGCTGTCCCTTCCTTATCAGAGGCCACTTGCAACACAGCAAGACAACTCTTCCTAAACTTGTATTAAACAAAGCACTTTAGAACAATAGTAATTTATTTTGTTTCTCCTATTTCATTCCTAGTTGTTCTGAAAAAAAAAAAATATATTGTTTAAGTGGGATAACTGTATTAAAACATGATCACACACATCGGGATCTATAAAAGGTTTGGGTTTCCAAAGATGTTATCAGGGTCCACAAAATTTTATTAAAGTAATTAATTGAGATTATCAAATCAAGGTTTAAGTTTAAGAACAGCATTTTATTGGGAATTATACCAATATGTATATGTTAGTGTTTTAGTACTCAACAAGCATTTATATAGAATGAGTGCTTCTCTCATCCATACAAGGCATTTTAAAGGGAAATTATGTATTAAAATTTTATAAAGGACATAAACAAAACTGAGAGACGTACATGTTACACTAGTTAAGAGTTTAACTTTAGTCTCTAATTTGAGTTTAGCCTAGATAATTAATTTATTGATGTCGTACTGATCCTTGTGTTTGTATGATTATAGAGACCGTACTGGAGTATTTGTGCTGCCTGATATTTGGGACTACACACCAATCTCTCTGGCTGACCTACCTGCCTACTTACCTTTTTTGCAATTAAATCTGTTTGGTCAAAATCCATGCTGGCCGAAGAAACTGAGATGCTTACTTATGAGGACATAAACTAACTTGGAAAGTCCTGAAGATGCAGTGCTGTCTAATGCCGCTATTTCTGTATTACCCTTTCAACAATTGGGGTGTTGCACAGAGTATTGTGGTGAACATCCAGCAAACAGAAGAATTAAGAACTATGTGGAAGCTGACATTGTCTTGTTGTCAGCCATATTGCTACACTTAGCTATGTTATGGTGTCTAAGATTCTTTATACTCCTTGAAAGACTTATAATATTTTTCTGGACTATGCTGGACTATTGAACTATTTTGTTATTTTTATTTTTGTAGAGTTAGCCGGAGAGAGAGGAAGTGTTAGCTTACTCAGGCATGGATGTACTATGTGTGTCATTGATGTATGTTAAGTGTACCAAGGATGGATTCCAATGTATTAAGTGTGGATATGACTGGACCATCGAAATAGGGATTTGATTAGGAGGCATAGGACGCAAGGTCATGATTGGGATTATTGCTAGAATTGCAAACTGATTAGAAATGATCTTATGATTTAATATGTAAGTGGGCCTTTTCAAACTAATCAAGAAGTGTTTCCCAATCCCGATACCTGAGCTATTTACTTACATGGTGCAGGTTTTATAAGTCACTAATGCTGTCAACGTGAGGGGATGACATGTTTACACAGTCATGGCCCTCACTTAGAATTTACCCAGATGTGCTTTTTTTCTCAATTATGAGTTTTTGCCACTGGGATTTTTGACCTGGCCCAAGTTCACTGGGTGGACTGGTAATCCAAGACCCTGGTCCAAAGAGGGGAAATAGATTTTATTCCCATTTTTGATTATATGTGTTTACATTGTGAATTATAATAATAATAATATTCCCGTTGTTGGGAATAATACACTTTGCCTGTTTTGATCCAAGGCTCAAGTTGCAGATAACATGATGTGCAGTTAAGATGTCAGCTGTTTGAAATATTTAACTTGTACACTTAAAAGATGTGTACAACAGATGATTACAGAAGCTGAAAATCGACAGCTGGATCTCCTCTTAAAGGGAAAACCTACGGCATAGAGCAAATGGGGGAAATCGAGGTGAAGAAATAAGGAAAGTCCCGCAGACGTGATTAGCACGTCTGAATATACCTCCTTTCGTTTCTCTGCCGCAGGCCTCCCATGGATATTCCATAAGGTAGATCATGATATGATCTAAGAGGGGAATTGTAGATGCGAATATCCATTTTGCTCTATATCCTAACTGTTCATGTAAGGGTTAATTTGAATCAAGAATAAATTTGGAATTGTATCTCCAATTCTCAGAAATGTTATTGAAACATGATTTTGTTATGTTCCTGGAAAAAAGATATTTGACATG